TTTTCGAATCAAGCCGAACTACGCGGGTCGCTATTTTGTTTTGACCGGAAGTTCTCGCGCACTCCTCTCTCTCTTTCTCTCTCTCTCTCCACTGCCCACAGACAAAATTGTACGCTTTTAGTAGGCTACAGTTGTAATGGAACGTTTGTTCACGGCACAGAATTCTACAATTTTTCTGTTATCACAGTGTAGAATTCTGTGGTTTAGGGTGAACGCAAAATTTGGTGAACGCGCACCGGGTGAGAATAGCCACAAGACTCGCCTGCACTATTCTCACTCCGGGTGAGAATAGAGGTGGCCAAACTATTAATTTGCGACGGAAATGAAGTTGATATTCGTGTTCAGCGCATCAATATTTAGAAGAAAATGGACAACTGGTAGCCATAGCTATGAAAGGTAGAGCGTTAATTTTCATCATCAATAAACGCTACTCCCTCTATATTCATGGCAAAAATACGCGTTTCCCGGCGCACGCTGTACACCAACAGTACATACATACTGAGTGACCCCGGCGGCCTGCCCGGAACGTCCGACGTAATCAGTTGCTAAGATTCGCATCTCGGCACAGACGCAGGACAAGAGTTAATAGAGATGAGGACTCCAACGGTCCAAAGCTTGGCAAACTTCAAACTGCGGCAGGATAAATTTTTCGAAGTGACGTTTTCTCCGTACGTTCATTTGGAAATACCTTCAATAGGTACTGGGAGAAAACAAGACTGATCGACCTTGGCAGTAACCTATTTTGCATTTAGTCACCCAGTAAAAACTAAAATCCGTTCACACCTTACACACACACACCGACACACACTCACATGCACACTCACACACACACACAGACCACTCCATTCACTTATAATTATCAACAAACCTCGAGAACGGGAACCGTTCGGAGAAATAGAGTTCAAGTTTATTTTCCCGAACGTTCTGAGAAATAGAGCCGGCCTAAATTTTTACTATCACTCCCGCCCACAGATGCACTGCTTCTGGGGTCAAACTACAGTACTGTTTGCTGTAGATGACATATAAAGCCACAAAAACTATGGCAAATCAATTATTTTCAAGAAAATTTCAAATCTTGATCTTTATGTAACTGTAAAATATAAAATTATGGGTTAAAACAGTGGGGCAGCCCCTGTAACCCCCCAGATTTTCTTTTACCCCTGTGGGGCAGGCACCCCTGGAACCCCCGAATGAAGTAATTTGTGTTCAGCGCTTCAATATTTAGTAGAAAATGGACAACTGGTAGCTATGTGAGACGGGCGGGAAAGTAAAAAAAAAATATCCTGCTGCGGCAGTGACACTGGTAGATCTACTATGACTATACTATGGTGGTAGTTTAGAAACATAGCCTTAATAGTTTAGCAATGCCCACCGAGCGCGTTTTGTTCTGCCGATTTTTGGTCCCCGCCGCGGGGGTGTTTCCTGGGACAAACTAATGCATTGGTTGTTGTCTTCAACTCGCTCTCACGCAGTTTCTCATGAATAGATGTGAATGAAACTTGGCAGCCTATCAGAAAAGAGGTCAATCTCATAGTATGCAGATTAGCAAGTTTGTATCCATCCAAGCAGACCGAAGGGCTAGAACCCAAATGGCCGCTGGATCGGAAAAGTAAAGTAAAGTAAAAGTGTCCATCCAAGGAATGGTTTGTTTTCTTCATCTTGATCAGTCCTGCCTAACTAAGACAGCCACCTGTCTTATAATACAGTCACTTTTCTCCTTGACAATGGGTGGCCGTCTTACAATGGTTCGACTGTACTTGAAAACAATTGATTTGCAAAGGTTTTAGTGGCCATACGTGTGTTCTACTGCAAAAATGATAATGGCAGTTTAGCCCTCAAATCAATGCGTTTGTGTGTGGGTGCATAAGTATACATTTGTCGTTTAATCATCAAGAACAAATTGTTCTCACAACTGTTTCCTACATTGATCAATACCAATAATATTAAATCGAAGTGACTATTTCTCTGAACGCTCGGAATGATAAACTTGAACTCTAGATTCTATTTCTCAGAACAGTTTCTGTTCTGGAGTTTTGTTAGTTATTTGCAAAGAGGTTATAAATAGAAGTATTATAACCTCTTTGGTTATTTGCGAGAGTTCGGCGTCATCTTTCATTCTGCCAGTCTGCAGATTTAATAATCCATTTTATCGAATTCACTGGCCGCAAATATTCATGTAATCGATCTGGGCAAATTTCTCCCTGTGAGATGTAAAAATGAGTATCGCGTAGTCTGAGCATAAAAAATTACATTCATTTCGCTTTTAAATTTTGGAAGTGCACCAGGAGAATTTTATTTGACAAATAAACCTTGTTTTGTCTGTCACACCCTTACGGTGAAATCCACCTTATAATAATGAAGGGTGGCACTGTGAGTGTGACTGGTACGTGGCCTTGGTGTCAGCGTCAAGATGAATTTATTAGTTTACCGGTGTGGGTGTTTCATTGCCAATTACTTAATAAATATTTCATGCAAGGTGTGAACATTTTTTTGGGAAGGG